TCTTCTCCAGGAGGTTTCCAGAGTAACTTTAGGTGCAAGGGTTGTCTCCATGCCAGCACACACGACAGTAATAAACTGTTCACTTTACAAAATATTGTTGCAAGGCAGGATGTATGCTTAATAAACCATTTATGCCAGATTATTTTGTTAAACTCCTGGGATTTTTACATCACTAAGACTTTCAATTTACTTCCCTCCCTGTGTTCCTCCCCTTTTGGCTTGCTTTGGCTGTATGTATTGTATTTTGCTCATCTTTGTGGAAGAGTGCTTTTCAGGGCTAGCCTCTGTATTATTGCAATGGCCTTCAAGATACTCTCTGCCTTCCTTTGTTTTCTTATAAACTGCTCCACAAAGAGCTGAGAGATCTTAGTGTCTCTTAAAACATGACACTAGAATTCTGGTTAAGCTTGCCAAGATTCCTGTGTTAACAACCCTGTTTTATTCAGGTAGGCACAGATTTTTCCATACCCCCACCCCTTACACACTCTATTTATTTAGTTCTTTTATGCAGATTCCTGTACCTTTCACAATGGATTGTGACTCACTTCAAACCCTCTTTCTTTTTCCTTCCCCCTCTCCACACCACGGCTGACAATATTTACTCAGTTTCTTTAGAACCTCTAAAGAGCATGAATTCTAATGTTTGAAGTTGGATCATTTTTGATTAATTAAATATATATTATGGTGGTGCCAGCAGCATGACTATAATTAAAGCTGTATTGGATTTTTTTTTTAATCAAAAGCTCTGATTTTCAAGTGTTCGCTCACTCCTGTATGCGCTTGCTCCCTCCCTCTCTCGCTCCTTGTCTTTCCTCTCCCCCCATCTGTGTTCGCTCCCGCACACACGCTCACCCACCCATCATCTCTCACACCTGCAGTCCCAATTGCTCACGTTCTGTGGCAAATCCTCCTCACTTGTCAGAAGGGCAGGATGCAAAGGGCATCCCTTCGAAAAGCAGCCCGTGCCAGTCGCTCATCTGGTCTCCTCCCTTCGCAGCCACAGTTCAAGCCCAGGAGGGCAAAGCTAAAAGATGAAGCCATGCTATGGAGAAAGGGGTTTATCTTAATACATGGGCCACCTCCCTCCATCAAGGCAAGCTTCAGATACCTCAGCCCCTTAGGAAGATAACATGCCCACCACCAAACAAGCCCCTCCACAGGCAGTAAGTCCGTATTTCAGTGAGCTAAAAGACACATCTAGGCTGTTTGAGATGTCACAAACAGTACTACAAAACACTAAGATGTGTGGCTCTAATGTCTACGCCGTGGTGCTGTGGTGACACCCACATGTCACCCATGTTACTCAGAGCCCATTTCCTTCCTCAAACTGGTCCAAACAAGTCAAGCACAAAGCACTGAACACAGCGCTGCCCTTTACTCAAATGTATTCCTTGTCTCAACACTGCACAGCTTATCACAACCAACCGTTGTGGCTTCTGCAAAACTCAAGCTAAAATCCAGCAGGATTTTTGCTTTTTCAAGAAACATTTTATGGGGACAGAGAAAACATGTGGCTGATGAAAGAAAGAGCTTTAGCATAATCCAAACAGCTCCTGTAAGCACATCCTAGAAACCTCAGCTCTCAAAACACAGCTGCGACCTTGCAGCATGATCCATGCCAGAGGATACTCACACAACCTCACCCAGGCATAAAGGTTTGCTGTGTGGATGCAGTTGTGGGCCAGAGCCTGGGTCTCTTAGTGTCTCAGGTCACTCAAGGGACACCGCCCGTGTGAAACCAGGACAATAATAACAGATTTTTAAAGTAATTTGAAATGCTACTAGTTCCCCAAACACAAGTGAGCAATGCCTTTGTCATCACGTGCTCCTGTATTGTAAAAACCTTTCCAAAAATCTTTCTGAATAGCATGATACAAAAGGAAGAGAAGTAGGTACACAAAGTAAAGACTAACGCAGGCCTGAAGCTCACTGTTGTAATGACTCCATTTTGGACTGGAGAACTTCATGGAATGAAAAGCCTCAACTAGAGAGCTATGTTGTCAACCTGCAACAACAGGGGCCCATATTTTCGGAAGACACAACAGCTAAATAATGACAAAAACCAAGCAAGAAGTACTTGTTTGCAAATAATCAGCATTTCTTTGGCACTGTACTTAATAGCTTGCCTGTCAGTTTGTTATTCAAATACAAAAAGTACTTTAAATAATCCTCTTTCAAAACGTATAGCTGTCTGAATATCACAGTTATGAATCTAAACAGAAGAAACATTCTGGGCCCAGAGTATCAAATAATACTCTTTTATGATCTGAAAACCAGCTTAACTATGCATTTATAAATTACTCATTTCTGAGAGATGTAAGACCTTTACATACAATCTTCTGTTGTCAGCTAATGAACAGAAGCACATAATTGTTCTGCACTTCAGAAGATAAAGCAAAGCAACAGTATGAGATGCAAGATAGATAGTGTAATAATGCACGTTAAATGAACATGCTTAACATTCTTAGAAATATGTTTTCTGAAAAAAACAGTTCTGAAGATATTACAGTCAACAAACATCGCTAATAAAACAATAAAGACAGCACTGTCTCAGGAGGTTTAAAAAAAAACCCAAAAGTGCATTATAAATATAGCTAACATGGAAGTATGGGTAATGAACAAATCCAGGTATCCTAAAATTTAAAAATAGTTGCAAGAAGGTAACATTTTATAGCACGTACTGGTAACAGTCTTGAAAAAATCCAAATGAATACTTAATAAACAGGCAATATTTTGTTTAACAACTTTTGGTCACTGAAAAATGTCTCTACCTTTAAGAAATTTGAATGGAATTTGCAGATCTCATTTTTATTTCTGAAAAACCCCAGCGAGCCTTTGATCAAAATGTAAATGGCCCAATGGCACCAAAGCCACGGCAAAGTGCAGTTCTGCTCAGCAGAGGAATTTGGGCTGTATCCCACAAAGCTCTGTAGAAGTGGGGTTTGGAGGAGGCTGCATGTGGTTTCAGAAATCACTCCTCTCAGTTGATGTCTCTCCCACATCTTTTGACATTAACAGCATTCTGAAAAGTCCATCTCTATACTTAAAATTTGGGAGTTAACAGGACATTTTAATACTTAGTAAATAGTTTTCATTTCTATCATTTCTTATTCCTTCGGGGGGGAAACGTGCCATCTGCTCTAGCTTTGCCTGAAGGACAGTTACATTTCCAACACGTGGCAGAAATAGTGACAACAACAGGCAGGAGACTGCAGGTACGTGTATATGTACAAGCTATATAGATTTATAAATTTAATTCAATTACAATTTGACTCATCGAATGATTAAAGCTTCAATAGTGGAACTAGCAAGCAGTAGCTTATCTAAAGCTAGGTTATCCCATATACCTGTATGAATGAGAAAGAATCCGCCAACGCTTAATACACTTGAATTTGCAAATACTCCTTTAGGGTGAGCACCCAACCCTGTTACCTAAATGCAGATTCTCCTACTAACGGAAAGAGAAATTGATCTGTACCTAGAAGTTACTGGGTTTCTGCCAAGCTAGCTCCTTCAATAGGTTTCCCAAAGGGTCAACGGGTTGACCTTGCAAAGGAAAGAACAGGAATGAAGGTGGAATGAAGAGAAAGAGAACCAGTACCCTTGGCCCAGGTGCCCTGAAGTTCTCCACCCTGTGCACATGGCATGGAGCAAGAGAGCTCTTAGACACAAGAAAGTGAATGCAAGCAACATCTGGGTCTAATTCCTTACCCCTAGCTTCCAAATTTTCAAATTTGTTTACAGTTTATCTCAAAACCACACACACCCCCCCATTTGTTTCATTTTAAGTGTTGCTATATGATTCTGTTTATATCCATAACACTCAAATACCCAGCAGAACCCCACAAGATTAATAGAACACAGCAAGCATATTCACCATTTTCTATAGAGGTTCAAAATGTTTGTATGTCCTTAGTTACAATCACTGACAGGAGTTATCAAATACATTTTTTTTTCATTTTGTGAGAAAGAAACAGCAGAAGTAAAGACAAAAAGCAAAAGAGCTCTCTATTCAGACGAAGCTGACTTCCTGACCTAAATATCTGCTTGCTGGCAGCCATGGTTTCAAAATCTAAAATCCACTTCATATCAGATGTTTCCCTTATTTACAATATTTCAATACTGATGACTCATGTAATTTTGATACATAACAGTTTTCTTTAAAGCTGACCTCCCTGAAAAATGATTACTTGGGAAGCTCGACTTTTATTGAAGGAAATATTGAGGCATGGCTTGGGATAGAAAAGCTTGAAAATATAACCCAAGTGCAGAGCTCTCAAAACGCAGAGTGCAAACAGAAAAAGAACGTGAGAGAAAAAACAAACCAAAAATAAACTCATGATTTTATAGGGCTTTGGTCTATCAACAGAATGAGTTTGTCAGCATGTTCTAAGGCAAACATTGCCAGTCACAAGACATCAGAGCAACCACCAGCCACTCCATAATGCCACCCAGTAACTCATTTTCCTCTCTGGGAGTTTATACCTTTTCTAGAAAATAGAAACAGATTTTTTCAGCTTAAATGCTCCATGCAGCATGTTACTCAAAATGCGTATGTTAAATAGCAGCCAAACTTGCACAAACCTCAATTAAGATTGTATTTTGCAATGCTTTTTTTGTGAGATCACATATTTTTCAGGAAAAAACACAGTGCTTCAAATTATATCACTACAAGGGCAGCTAATCCTTCCCAGATCCAAGCACTACATATACCACATTGAAATGCTGTGGCTGACTAAGCCCATTATAAATTTAAAGGCTTGCTTTAAAAGGGGAAAGAGGTAAGACTGCATGGATAATTCTGAAGTGCTTTATAAATGCTGTTGAAATAGTAAACCCATTTTACGGATGAAGTACAGATGTTAGCTAAGTAGTATGTGGACATTCAAAGACATCTTTTGTACAAGAGCTGGGAATTGAAATCAAGTCATCTAAGCTGGTAGGTTTTGCCCAGTTGCAATGTCTTCATTTCACAACATCCCTTTTTCTTGATTACTCACCTCTTGTGCAAACGACTCTGCTTTCTTCCGCAGGTTCTTTTCCAGTTCGAAGTTTACATGAAGCTCTTCATATTCCTCTACTGCCAGCACAGACACTGTTCATAAGAATAAAACAAGATCAGAAGTGAAAGTGGAATGGATCAAAATAAGAAGAAAATACTGATTGATTTACCCAGATAAGCTGTTATTTCCCAGTACCATGAATCCTTGAATGAAGGTGTAACCTAGTTTTACATTTCTGTATATGGCCCACTTGGCAATGTTTGTCCTGTTTGCTCTAAACCCCACCATGTATATATGCACAATTACTGACCTGAATAGAGTAATACTCCTCCTGCCTAGACTCAAAATCTCCAGTAACAGGCATCATGTAGCACAGATGGTATTTTGCCTCTTTTGCCTCAAGACAGCCTTGCTGAACCTATCAAAGATTACTATGTTATTTTGGAGGCACCTCTATTTGCCCACCTGGTTTGAATGAGGCTTGATGTGTCCCTTTACAACAGAGATTTAAAGGAGCCTTGAGAAGAAACAGTGCAATTTTGTGTTGCCTGTATTTAAACTGTGCTCACAAAAGCAAGGCTCATATAGGCGGCTAAAGCAAACCAGGGGGCATGCTTCCCCAAACCATTCTGAACAGGCCTCAATCCAGGACAGCATCGTTTGTAAGTACTCAAGTATAATTTATTCTTAACATGTCTCAGTGATCACTTGCATTCTCTTGATAAGCTTTAGCTCTTACTGGCTGAAGACCAGTTTACAGGATGATGACATTGGATTTCTAACACCACCATACACAAGTTCCTTGCTTTTTTGGAGACAAGCATTTAAAGCATTAAGATAAGAGTTTTTAAAGCTATGTACAGTAAGTGGTACTTTAGACAGCGGGATATACATCCCAGCCCACCTGACTCTCAAAATTATGTTGATACAAAAAAAAACAAAACAAAAAAACCCACAATCAAAAATGACCAAAAAACCCACAAAAAACCTAACAAACAACCCACATGCTTAGAAAGATTTAAGATAAATTCAACAACTCCGACTGAAGTATATTGATCACACAGCCCCAAGACAGTGCCGCACAGACATAGAATATAGTAGGTACTGAATAGATGCTTTGGTAGCTCATTTCAAGCATACAAAACAATCTCGCTTTATGTTGCCTGTGCATTAGGACCTAGCCTGGCATAGCTCCTCCTTCCTGGAAAACAGACAAATGTGAAACAAGGGTTCTTTTTTTGATCATGCTTAGAAAAAAGAAACTTCTCATCTGCCACACTATCCCATCAAAAGCTTCTTCAAGCTGATCTGTCTAATCAACCTATCTGAAGTTTGGTGTTTTAAGAATCTTCAAGTACTGCCTGTCAGAGGCTTAAGCAATGCAGACACATGGAAGAGGTAAGAGATGAACACTTGGTGGAAGCTTACAGGCCCTGCTGTACCTTGGCCAGACTCGTTGTCTTCCACTTCAGGAAAATGTGAAATAGCCGACAAGACTTTTAACCAAGCTTTTTTTAATTTTACAAGGCTAAATAAGCAACAAGAGAAAAGGGCACAGTATTCCAAGGCACTAAAATCTTTCCCCTCCACTCTAAACTTCTTTCAGGTCAACTATTTCTCGTGTGGAAGCACTCACTTTCATTAAGCAAAAGCTTTCCTTTTCTGAGCCTTATCTCTTTTTAGACTTTCCCTGCCCTGGTTTTACCACTCATCTCTTTCCAGTAAAGGAAAGCACCTGCTTTCCTTCCATAACATGGAAATCCTATTTAACTTGTTCCCAGTACTCTTGCCTTTTCCTCATCACCCTCTGAATATAAAATCAGTTGCTCCTAAGTCTTTGGATATTCAAAACTATTAGCTATGTCCCAACTAAAAGGAAGGCCGATGTAATGATTTTGGAAAATAGGAGATTAGGGTTCAAACTCCATCTCTGTGAAGGACTGCCTTCCTGCCCTGTTTGCCTCTCATGCCACAGAGCAAAAAGTTTTCCTATTCTCACATTCAACTTGCTATTTACACTGTCACGTTTTCCTGGAGTAGAGATAGCCTAGAATAATCTGCGTGTTTACGCAATGCCTCCAGCAACAAGGCCAAGCGTCAGATCTGGACCACAGTCACTGTTCTGTAACCTATTCTTTGTACTACAACATAAAAGCCCTGAAGCTTCTGCAAAGGATGTAGCAAACTGTTATAGAACCTGCTGAGACCACACACCTCTGTTACATTTCTCCAACAGTTTTTGCTGCTTATTAACTTCTGTTGTCAAAACAGCCTTTTCTTCTTTCACTTTATTCACCTAGAGAAGTACAAAGAACAAATCAAAAACAAGAGTATTTTAGTTACTGGCATAAGGCATATAGCAAGACATAATGCAAGCAATTTTTGCTTTCAGTAATTCTGTTTCTTAGGTTTGGCTTGATCTTAGGGTTTCCAGTGGGATAGAAAGCATTTTTACCCCAACTTACGCAACTATAACAGATGGCATTAGAGGGTTGTGAACTAATCCTTCACATGGGGCTCCCATGGCCCATTCGCATGGCACGTACGAGTCACAGCTGCAAATATAACATCTTTGGAACCTTTCAGGATGAGCACTTGGTTTCAAAGTTAGTAGCTTGCCCTTGACTGTTTGCATTATAATATAGTCAGGCTGCTGTTTTGGTTTTTTTCCTGGGCTCTGTTTATTGTCCAAGAGCTGTCAGCTGTGTCTTTCTGAATCCAAGTGTTGCGTAGACAGGAAGAGCCACTAAGTCCTGATTTGCATCAGTACATGGCTTATCCAGTTTTCAAGCAGGAATGAAGCTCTGCTGGCTCAAAAAGCCAATTTGCTGGTCTAATTACCATGACATGGCACTGTCAATGGCTAAACTCAAGGATATGCTCGATGAAGTAGCACCAGTGATTAAACTGGACATTCTCCAAAAGTATTTCTTGCACATCCACAGGTTTAGGGAAATCAAAAAAACCCCACAGGCTGTGATGGGTGAGGGGCTGTCAGGAAGGGGAGATGAGAGTAATAATAGGGGCGTTAGAACAGGTCATGTAAAGTCATTGCCAGCAACAGCAGCAGACTGGACTCTGACGTAGAAGGCCCCTTCTAGGCGTATGCCTTAAGTGCTCCATCATATGGGCTGGCTGGCAGGACTCGCGATTAGATAGTATTCAATTAACTTCACAACTGAGTGTTTTTAGCAAAATTAGATACAAAAAGTACTGACTACACGCTAACGTGGTCTCGCCTTCCATGGTACAATACATACTTCTTCAATTACTTCCACAAGTTTGCACCTCAGGTTTTCCAGTTCAATGGTTAAGGTCTTCTTTTCCTCATGAACAGATATGATTTGATCTCGCAGCTCTACGGTGTGAGGAAGGAAATGAAAAATATATTTTATTCTTGGAAGAAAACAACAAAGGAAATGTCATAGCAATGCAACTACAGTCGAGTATGAAACACCTGAACTGCATACAAAGCATCACTTCTATTCAAGGTACATCCTCAATAATTTAGGAACTTTGTGTAAGTGTCAAGTAACAGATCTGCAACTGGGCCACAGTTTCAGATTCACTCTATCGAGGTAAGCTGCCTTGTTCAGTCCTGCCGCCTTTATTTGCATTCTGAATGATTCATTTCCTGCTATAATGGGGCCAATCCTGCCACCGCAGAGTATCCTCAGTCCTACCCAGGAGACTCACATCACAGAGACGCTAGGACTCTAGGTAGCAGAAAGCAATTTTTAATAGGCGTCCTTTAAAACAAATTAATGCACTTCAATTCTTTTTGGATCATGAGTTCTTGTCACAAGGGAAATAAACAAAACAACAGGCAGTTAATAGTTGGGAGGTTTTCACTGAAGAAATTGTCCTGAACAGCTGCCAATTTATGGTGTTTGTAACATTATGTGAACAGAGTCAGAATATAACCTTTACTGATGAAGAGCTAATGCTTGTAATTTTCCCCTCAGAATTTCTGTTCCTTAATTATCAAAATATGAAATAAATTAAATTCACAATGGAATAAAACATTTGATTATAATCACTTCTTAACAGGAGATCAGTTTGCATACATAATATATCAAGGTTTAGGTTAACATAACACCACAAAAATATAAATTTATTGATATATATTAGCTTTCAGTAAGTGCTCTCATTCCCCACCTGCTTCCACTATTTCATAGCACTGCTGTTCGTTGAATACCAGCCACGAGTTAAGAAAATTGTTGCTAATCAATTGCAGATGATGATGACATGCTGGATGTCATTCTGTTTGATCTCACGTTCTGAAAATGTTAACTCTCCCCCAGCCCCCACTTCCCTTTCCCCCCCAATTAAGGAGCCTCAAGTTTATTTTTCTCCAAATTAAAGGCACACACATTCTAAAGTAAATAAAAAGACCTGTTTTCCCAGAAGATTCTTGAACCAAATCATCTGGTTTATGGACTTGTGCTTTCCAGTGAAATTAGTGAGGAAAAAAAGTCTTGCTGACATTTGTGGTAACTGGATTAAGTCAGGTTTTACAATACAAACATCAACCTCATTATCCAGAGAAGGCATATCCATATACCTAAATCTTTAAAAATGTGTACAAGAAATGTTCCTTTTCAGGTACAGGGTGTACACTAAACTGCTTGACCAACACAGCTGAGTTTTCAGTTCTTGTTATATCCAAAGGACAGCTAAAAAGAAAAAGAAAACCCAAAACCTCTTAATGAACTTCAGGTACTGCTCTGAGACCACTCTACACTTCCATTAGGAACTACAGTTTTACTACCATCTTTACCTAATGTATGAGATACCTTCCTCTTTTTTTTTTTTTTTTTCTGAGTTACAAAATTTTACCCCTTTAATAAATGAGAGGGTGTTAATCATAGAATCATTTAATGGGAAAAGACCTTTAAGATCAAGTCCAACCATATCTGTCCACTACTAAACCATGTCTCTAAGCTCCTAGTCTATCCATTTTTTAAATACCTCCAGGGATAGGGACTCCACCGCTCCCCTGGCAATCAAAGAGCCTCAATACTGTACTACCTTATTTGTATATCCTTACAGAAAAGTGGTGGGAGGGAAGGAATCATTCCAAGAAACATCTATTATTTTGTTGAACGGTGAGAAGGCCAAAAGACTTCCAAGATCCCCAACACAAACCACAAACGTTTGGAATCACAAACACACACAGAAGAGCAGATTTCACCTTGGGCAACACTGCAAAATGTTAAGGGATTTTTGAAAACACCTCTTTCATTGTATGTAGCCTTTCACTTAGCGAGTAATCCAAGATATAACTTCAGATTTTCCCCTGAAGACAAACGCCATGCAGCTTTGCTTAGGCTAACGACACAGCCCTGATTCTGCCTGTTGGTACATCTTGCCAGATCCCTCTGCTACCATATACAAACGCACTTCTCGCCAGGCACAGGGATGGAATATCTTCTCCTACAGCAAATGGGACGCCAACGTTTTTAAATATACTCCGCACTTGTAAAGGTAAGGTCATTAACATTTAATAACAAGGCCAGAGAGAGGAGAAGCAGCCAGGAGTTCTAAATCCTTTGCAACATGCCACATTTCATTCTTTAATAAATACTTCATCAAGACAGAAAACATATGCATCGGAGCCTTTCCAAAGTATTTCTCCCATTTGACCCTGCTACCCTCCTAACCACATTCTCCTCTGTTCTGCAGTCAGTCTTTGCTCTCTTTAAATGTATCCTTGACATCTTTTCTCCAAGGCAGGAGGAACTCCAGACTCTTATTTCCAATTCAGATGTGTTGCGTGGTGTGGATCATGTTGTTCTCTGCCTCTTTTCCTACATCTATAGGATGGAAAACTGCTTATTACAGAAGGGTACTACGACATCTTATTTCTGGGGTGGGATTTTTTTTTTAAAGCATTTTTACAACACTTGTTCTTTTTTCTCAGTGATACTTTGTACCACTTCACTGAGGCTGCTGCATTCAAACAGAAAACAATTAACAAGGTCAGGCTGAAAGTTCAGGACAGCTGTACTTAGACATCATTTGCTATGGTAACTTACTATCAGAAAAAAGTGAAAGTTTTTTTTTTTTTTAAAAGTGAACCACAATCTCTTTCTGTTGCCAGATGCAGAATGTGGGCATTCCCCCTTTTTGGAATGCATACAGAATCACGATGACTTTACCACAGAGTTAGACGAGAAGGGAAAGCAGATTTTGGATTACAGAAATACAAACTGCTTTTCAAAAAAGAACCAGAAATTTCTTAATAAAACAGATTTCTCTTGTCAATGTATTTCCATGTTCCCAAGCTTTGTTGTTTTAGCCAGTACAACAGTCTCTTTTTAAGCTGCTGTTTGGTCACATCTCTGGAATATGAATGAAGTTTGCGCATACAAAGGTACATAATGGAAATAGAAATGGAGCTTACAAGCTCTGAAATTGCAGTTGAAGCAATACTGAGGTGAACCTGTCCTTCTGCTTAATTTTTATTTTGTTAAGGATCTAAGGAAATATTTCTTTTACTGACTCAGTAACATTGAATCCTCTTAGCTGTATATATCTCATTTTCCTATTGCATTGTAACTTACTTTGCAGGCTGTATATAGACCATATACGTTACACAGTATCACTACAAGCCTACCATGTTCTTACAGTGTTTCCTGGAAATCCTTTGACAACCACTCTCAGCAGCATGATTCAGAGCCAGACGGATCTCTGGTCCAAACCAAGACTGCCATTCTTTAGACAGCCTTTCTCTTGTATGGTGGTGCAGGCTCAGCCACAACGCTCACCTTTTATTTGCTGCTGACAGTGCATAGAATTGCATGATCCAGAGTTAGCTTCTGTATCTGTGGATGAATCATCTTCATCAATGTTAATCTCTTCAGTGATGATTTCTGGCCCCAGTTTTGCCATATAAAGCATACTAATTCTTTTCAAGGTCTTATTTTCTTTGTTCAGCTGAAAATTGAGAAGCACAAACAGTAAGAAGCTAGTTTGTCTTTAAGCTGCAGTGCCAAAAAAATTTAAAAGATCTATCAAAGAAGTAAGACAAAGTGACACTAGATTAAATGCTCCATTCAACATCAAAATGGTCTGAAGATGGGAAGCTTGTCCTCTTTCTCCTCTGAGGAAGCTTGAATTCAACATGAAGCTTCATCCATGGCCTTCTGTCCTCTCTGGTACTTCTGACTAACAAATAACCTGTGCAGGTCCAAATCAAATCAACTACCAAGCTTACTTAATGCTACACATTCTCTGTGATAGCTGCTTCAGCTCCGTACCCTTAACCATGTACCAGTATCAACAGGAGCCCTAACTGAATAACCTGAAAAAGGGCCTGTGTTCCTGAAAGCTCATCTGGTTTTGCCAGCTATATCAGTTGGGCCAAATAAAAACTCTTACCTCCTCCTATGCCCTTATTTTACTTATAAACTACAAACACCACAAATACTATACTCCCAGTCACAGCAGAATTACCTCAAAATTCTTTTGAATTATTTTCAATTGTCAGGAATTATTACTGTAGAGTCAATATATGTCAGATGAAAGCCATATCGTAAACCAATTCTTTACGGGTCAAACCACAAGTCAGAAACCACTCTGTCTAGATGCTTAAACACATGCCTGATTGGTGAACGATACAGAAGAGTTTCTGTAACACATCTCCACCTTAACCAAGGCGCCAAGAAAAACTGAACAATGGGGACTGCTGGAAGTGTTTCACTCTTACCACTTCTTTCACTGTCCTGCATCTAGGCACCCCATGCCAGCAGCTCTCAGCAAGCTCAGCACAGCGTCAGGGGTGTTCAGGCACATCCTGGGGTGACTGCCCAAGCACCAGCCAAGGATTTCCTGCATTTAGGCCTAAGAATGAAGCCCAGTTTTCTACTCATGACGTATGACATGTTAAAGTCAACACGCACTTCAGAAGTCCAATATTTACTGAATATACTATATATAAAGTCCAATATACTGAACAGTCAGACTGACCCTGACGTTTTACCTAAGCAATCACCTTTGATCCCCTCTTTCCTCAGCCCCACCAGCTACGGGAGATTTATTCAAGAACTTCTTCATCTCACTCCTGAAGAATGAAACGGAGCAAGCGGGAAGGGTGGTGTAAGGAACCTTATTTAGTCAGCTCACAGCAATAGACAAAGCAGATTTGGCAAAGCAGCCCCATGGGGGAAAAGCTAGTCTTTGAACTGCCCCTGTACGTGCATTACAGGAAAAGTGCAGAGAAGAAGAAAAGTTGCATAAATGCATTCATTTTCTTACTTATATGCTGATTGTCTATCTTACGAATTCTAATATAGTGTCATTATGCAAACAATTAAGTAAATACCTCCAGAAAGTACATTGCTAATGCATCTAAATTAAAGTGATTTCTTGCTGGTGTGATTTTTACCATATCTAAGGATGTACTTTGGGCAGGGGATGGGGAGGGGAAAAAAAATAAAAAAAGAAAAAAAAAAGGCCGTCGGCATTGCTAATGAAATTTGGTTCAAAATTGCTGTAATCCATTTTCTGATGAAGTGGCTCAGATGCATTTTACAGAACCAAAAATATATAACAGAGAGATAAAAACATTCTTTAATAATAATGCACTTCTGATGAGATGGAATATAGAAAATTACACACTTGCTAAATTCATCAGACTAGACGCAATCAACAGAGCAGCGGAGGTCACCTTTCCCCTGCCCTCGCTTTGCTTTCATAAACAATCACTTGAAATGTAATGCAGTGGTTGACTTTTTCCATTTGATTTAGACACCAAAATGCTCATTATTGTTTTATATCTCACACAGGACAGTTCTAAAACTTGTTTTCCATTTAGCCTAAACACATATAAAAACTAGATATCAAGATGCTGGTCCACGACTTACTGCTCCAAAATAGAAACTAAATTAAAACTGGTATTTTTTTCTTTAAGGAAGGAATTGTATTTCACATCTCGCACATGGCTTATAGTTTTTGCTACTTCAAAACAATTTTACAGATCCGCAAGATTATACAAAAACATATATGGTACATGTATACAATCTCAAGTTAAAAAAATAAAAAGGAAATTGGATGAAACAGAATCACCATCATTCTTCTCACCTTAGAAGCCAAAGCCTCAGCACTTTCACGGCACGTCTTCTCAATTTCAAGATGGTTCTGAATACAGTTTACTTCCTCAATAACCATGTGAGAAACTAGGGGAAGAGTTTAAAAATTAGTCACTATTTTCCTGCATTTGACACATGCATCTGACACATGCGTCCCATGATCAGAAATATTACATCTTTATCTGTTAACTTTCTATGTAAGCATTTCAAATACAGGGAAGTACGTACTTAGCCTCCATGGATAGGAACTGTTGAGAACACTGAATATCTGGTTCATTGCTTTAAGCAACTGTCTTAAGCTATGTCTGAGAACTGAACATAAACTTACAGAAGTAGAAGGCCAGCAGGAACCTCCCCAACTACTGTCATTCACCATCTTTATTTCATTAACACTTGAGGAATCAGAGTAAGACCACTAGGATTGTCCCTTCAGATTGCCATCATAATCCTATTGAAAATTTGGTACGGATGCTGTTTTCAGAAGATTGGAACCTTGATATTTGTAAACTGTTAGATTAACTCAGGTGTCCCACAAAGATTATTTTCACCTTCTGGTCTTCAGGTTTATATGGTATTTTAAGTATCATCACACTTGCTAAACACACTGTACAAGAAGAGCTGCAGAATGGACATACAGCACAGGACCGGGGCAAGTTTAGTAAGAAATGGAGAAAGGAGTTAAGTGACCAAAGCCTCCATATTTGTAGTGCCACCTACTCCACTGAAGCCAAATCATTAGCACAGCACAGTTCCTTCTTCCGGTTCTGCCCCATCAGCTTCAACGCTAGCTGCAGTGGCTGGGATACACCCTGATGGATGCAATCCTGATGGAAACTCAATGCTGCTTGGCCTAATTTTTGACAACCTCAGCTGAACAACCCAAGTTCTGTATTGCTATATGGCTGTAATGGCTGAACTATTTCTTACTTGAAGTCTCTCTGTGCTTGAGCATGGCCTAAAGTAAGCCCTGTGGTGTCACACCCTGCCTTCACAGTTCTACACAGGTTCATCCACCAGCATACACACATGGACACACACAGTCTTCCCTGAGACCAGGGCCAAGAGTGAGCTGCCTGACTGCATCTGAAATACATATCTGTGCTACTGTATTTGATGTCACAGCTGGCAGAGCAAGAGAGAGCTTTGCACTTACAGCATCCGTATTACCGCAGTGGGCATGCATCACTGTATCGAAGATACGCAATATTCCTAGAGTGACCAAAAATCTTATTTTGTGACCAGGATACCAATGTGAGTTAGAGACGTTTAAAAGCACAGATGCATTTTGGCTTGCAATTCTTCTCAAATTCCAGCAGTACATGGGTACTTAACCAGTGCTGAAAGTCATCTTCTAAGTGACAAGCTTCAAGCCACACAGGGGATCTGGAGCAAAAAAGGAAACCCAACAAGAGTTTCCCGTTTCTCAGGCTAGCACCTTGCTCATTGACGCAACTCCTCCTTGGCTCCTGGCACCCTTATTCATCCTAAGCAGCATACCAGACTCTAATTCTGCAAGTCATTTCATGGCACAGGTTCCTTTTCAGCACAGTGTCAGGATTTCAATGTGCAGAAGGGACCACGTGCAGCTGAAAAATATTCTGGACAAGGAACAAGGCTGGAAGACTATAGTGTAAATATGGAGGACTTTTTCTAGTATGTCCTTTCATTTTGATGAAGATAAGCTGTAAAGACTAGCGATTTCATACCACTGGGTAGAAAGTCCCACCTGCCCTCTTCCAAGACTTTTGCCTAAAAACCAAGGAGAGATACTTAAGTTCTCTTTGATACCCAGAGGTCATCATAATGACTACAAAACAGGACTTTAGCATGGGAAAAAGCAGGCTGTTAACAACTGTTATTTATGCAGCTTTAGTGATACTTAGTCAATGTGAACGAACATTTTCATTAACAACATAGGAAACGAGCAATACATCGGAGTTTGATGTCAAATCAGTAGCTGCATGCAAGAAACAAGTTCTACAAAATATAAGCCGCTGAAAACAAGAGCAGGGCAGAGTACTGGGAAACCTTGGTCCAAAAACTATATTCACGTTAAGTCTTCTAACAGCAGGGCAACCACATCTCTTTCTTTTCTTGTCTTTTTATTTCCAGTTTTTTCTGGCTTTGGAGAAATGATAATTTCTCGCTCCAAGCGTGCCGTACCAGCTGCTACATTTCTTTCAAGAGAGGAAAAGCTTCAGGTAGTACATGTCCTCATCTCTTCTGTTTTTATTCTACCTACCCCTGGGTATTTGGAGTAATGAAATGCTTTTGGGAAGGATGAGGGAGCAATGGAGATACAGAGCTGCTCCCATTTTACAGACAGGAATCTAATGGCCTCAAGCAAGGCTAAAGTTAGGAAACAAGGATTGGGCTCACATGGCAGAACTAGGGATTACTCTTGGTTCATTTAAACTTAATTAACCTGCAATTATGATTAACTCAGGGGAAAAAAAATCTTTCCAAATTAAATACAAAAATATATTATTTCCTAAGTCTGTCCAAAGTTCTTATTATGTCAATATTAAAATTCATAAAGCAGCACTAAGTGGCCTGAAACATCTCTAACCTTGACAGTTTTTTTCAGGGGTAATAATAATCCGCAGCAAATGCAGGCCAACCAAAAACCACTTAACTAATTAGTAGTTGCAGTCACCGAGAAAACATGAATCAACACTGTTATTACAAGTGGCACATTTGAGTGGCATCTAATTATGACTTGATGAGCACGATACTTGCATTATCAACATTACTACTGCATCCCATCAGGGACTAAAAGCCGCTGATGGCATTGACTGCGAGAAACTCCCACTCAATGGTACTGCAGCACCCAACAATCTCCTTGGCAGGGGCACCCTCACTAAATGACATGTTAAGCATAATTACTGGTAGACATTGTAAATAAACAGGATTGGAAGTGAAAATTGTACCAAGTGCATAAGACACAATCTGACACATTGGAAGTGGCAGCCTTAATTGAGAGTTTCTTTGACTGCTCAAGATCATTTCAACTGCATTTCTCGGAGGACAGTGATTATAACTGTGGAGACAGACGGCATAATGGTATCAGCACTGCTGACAGAGCAGTGAATTAAATTGTATCTGCTGTTGTGTGAAAGCCTTGATGAGAGGTACAGATCCTTAGTGGTCTTATCATTATAACACAATGGTCATGTTGTCATCAACCTTGCTGGCTCCAATTGAAAAGAAATGATTGTGTGTTGAAGCTTTCCCCCCCACCACCACCTTCTATCTCTTGTGCTCAATAGAACCAATTTTCAGAGAGCTATGAAATCACGCAATAGGGCCTAAAATGCAGCTGCTTGGCATACAAACGGGGCCCCATTAAACTGGAATCACACACAATATGTGTTTATGCCAGGAGAACAAATAGAAGCTGAGTACAGGCCAAGTTTATTCACAGACACAAAGCCGATGTAGCTCTTCATCAATATAATTGCCTTTTATATTGTCGTTTAAATAATGGGCTCTATTATTGCCTTAAAATCCTAATATTCCTGGCATTTTATCACTATGTTTACAAGGTATGTCCTTTAAAAATGTGAAAGGAAGATAAAAGAAACCTATAAAATTTTACAACATCAAATATTACTTCAAATTTTAAGTCTTAACTACTTGACATTTTCTGCCACACTCTGGTATTCCTTGTATCATAACAAAAACAAAGCAGGCTGCAAATTTTTCCAGAGGAATTAGACTTCTTAGAGAACATTCTTGCCTCACAGAACAGTTATCGGAGATCATTTAAAGCAGTAGATGATTTTCCATAATTGTATCACATGAACAATTATAAAATAGAGGTGAGCAAATTCCTGTATTAACACAGTCACACAAAAGTACAGACCATGTGATTTCCTTCTCCTGCATTAACTTCATCCACATTTCTGATGCTTTGTCGTGCAGTTCACCATACTGGCACAAACCAGACAGAACAGACCACAATCCTATTGTAATTGTCTCTTCTAAGGAGCTATTCCACTAGGATACTTCCACTCCCATTAGATGTGCTTTGTTGCTTCCAGACACCATACAGTTTCAATAGAACCATTACCATAGAAGTGTAAAACTGAGTATTGACATTCTCACAGACCAGACAAGACAGAACTTGCTCTAAAAATTATCAAGAGATAGCAGTTCATCCTAAAAACCTTTATTGGTGTGTCTATGCTGAAAGCCGTTTTACTCACTCTTCATGAAAAAATTACCATTATTATTATTATTATTATTAATTATTATTATCAATCTCAGCAATAGGGCCAAATCCCACTCAATCCAAGCATATATCAATCTAAAAGTCACTTGCAGAATCCAGGTGAGGTAGAGCTGCATTTGTACCACTGTATTTTCACCAATTTGCACCTTAAGAATGGCTACCTGTGTCCGAGTGTATAAATGCTATGACAGAAGTTAATCTGACACTGGTCAAAGTCTCACTGGATTAACTCCTTAAAACAAGGCTTTGAAGAAGAAACAGCAAGTGGACTTGAATCTCAGCATTCTTAACACTGCTGTAGAGTACGCAGAGGGATGTTCATAACTCTCTATACTAAAAAAATCCCACTAACATTATCAACTTACTTTTCTGAAACTCCTCCAGTTTTTTGACAGCCTCATCTCGTTCTTGTTTGATTTTGTCACACTGTAGGAGAAGAGAAAATTGAGATGAAACACCGATCCCAGTTATTTAATTAGCAGTCAGTCACAACATGCAAAATCAACAAAGATCAACTGCCAGCACAATAATGTACAGAAGCCTATCAAAGCATTATTTCTTTTTGCTCTCAGTCATGTAAGACCGATGGAAACTATGCATAAAAAATTAACTGCCCAGAATATTTCCTAACCAAACTGGCAAGTTGTACTTGATTTTAGGTTCCAATTCAGGAACTCCAATTCAGAGCTACTCTGAAAATATTTTAGAAGAGCCACATTATCCAAAACTGATGTAAACAGTTACCCATGTTCCACACAACAGTAAAAGCAATACTTTGCACATCAAGAATATGCTTTAAGTCTAGTTTCTTTACCACAAATAGACTTGGAAGAGAGGACTGCATTTCTATACC